ACCCACACAAGCGCCCACCTCCCTTTAGGAATTGGCCAAATTTGGCATTTTTTTTCATGACAGCCTGCCATTCCTAGATGTTTTCTACATTAAAGAAGAAGAAAAAAAATCACTGTTTTCTCCTTAACTTCAAGCTACCACTCTCTCCTCTTCCCCTATAAGGGAAGAGAAAACAAAAAGTTGAAATATAAAAATTCCCCTCCTCACCAGGCGCAGTGGCTCACACCTGTAATCCCAGCACTTTGGGAGGCCGAGGAGGGTGGATCACCTGAGATTGGGAGTTCGAGACCAGCCTGACCAACATGGAGAAACCCCGTCTCTATTAAAAATCCAAAAAATTAGCCAGGCATGGTGGCACAGGCCTGTAATCCCAGCTACTCAGGAGGCTAAGGCAAGAGAATCACCTAGAACCCGGGAGGCGGAGGTTGCAGTGAGCCGAGGTCGTGCCATTGCACTCCAACCTGGCCAACAAGAGTGACACTCTGTCTCAAAAAAAAAAAAAAAAAAAAATTCCCCTCCTCCCATTATTCAAGTTACTGTCATCGCTCTCTTCTCTGCCCCATAAAGCTGTGAAGCCCTTTGCCTCACTCTTGACAGCATGAGGGACCAGTGGGCAGGGACTGTGGTTTGAATATCTGAATTGTTTTTCCTTCCATTCTGGGTACTTGCTCAGGCATTGGGGTCTCCTCACTCTTGGCCACATGAGTTTCTTTAGAATCCTCTGGTCAACTGGGACCTTGATTTTGAGACAGTTTAGCCCGGGGTATTTTTGTTCTGTTTGTTCTGTTGGTCAGTTCTGTTTGCCCATTTTCTTCTGTCTGTCAGTTTTAGTTTTTTTCATCATTGTGGTTCTGGAAACTTCTCGTGTGCGGTGTCTGGCAAGTTTTGAACAGGTTCTTTCTATAAAAATCAAAGATTTTTAAAAAATGTTCTGCCAGGCGTGGTGGCTCACGCCTGTAATCCCAACGCTTTAGGAGGCCAAGGCGGGCGGATCACAAGGTTAGGAGTTTGAGACAAGCCTGGCCAATATGGTGAAACCCCGTCTCTACTAAAACTACAAAAATTAGCCGGGCTTGGTGGGGTGTACCTGTAATCCCAGCTACTCAGGAGGCTGAGGCAGAAGAATTGCTTGAACCCGGGAGGTGGTAGTTACAGTAAGGTGAGATTGCACCACTGCACTCCAGCCTGGGCAACAGAGAGAGACTCCATCTCAAAAAAAAAAATGTTCCAAGGCTAGGGGCAGTAGCTAACACCTGTAATCTCAGCACTTTGGGAGGCCAAAGGAGGTGGCTCACTTGAGCCCATGAGTTCAAGACCAGCCTGGGCCAAGCCAGGCACGGTGGCTCACACCTGTAATCTCAGCACTTTGGGAGGCCAAGGCAGGTGGATCACCTGAGGTCAGGAGTTCGAGACCAGCCTGGCCAACATGGTGAAACTCCATCTCTACTAAAAATACAAAAAATTAGCCAGGTGTGGTGGCAGAAGACTATAACCGCAGCTACTTGAGAGCCTGAGGCAAGAGAATCGCTTGAACCCGGGAGACAAAGGTTGCAGTGAGATGAGATTGTGCCATTTCACTCCAGCCTGGGAGTCTCAAAAAAAAAAAAAAAAAGACGACGACGACCAGCCTGGGCAACATGGTGAGAGCCTGTCTCTATAAAAAAATACAGAAATTAGGCTAGGCACGGTGACTCATCCCTGTAAACCCAGAACTTTGGGAGGCTGAGGCGGGCGGATCATGAGGTCAGGAGTTCGAGACCAGCTTAGCCAACAGGGTGAAACCCTGTCTCTACTAAAAATACAAAAATTAGCAGGTGTGGTGGCGGGGACCTGTAATCCCAGCTACGCGGGAGGCTGAGCCAGGAGAATCACTTGAACCAGGGAGGTGGAGGTTGCAGTGAGCCAAGATCGTACCACTGCACTCCAACCTGGGCGATGAGCAAGACTCCATCTCAAAAAAAAGACCAAAAACAGAAATTAGCTGGGCATGATCGTGCACATCTGTAGTCCCAGCTACCTGGGAGGCTAAGACAGGGGAAATCACCTGAGCCCAGGAGGTGGAGGTTGCAGTGCGCCAAAATTGCACCACTATACTCCAGCCCAGACAACAGAGTGAGATTGTGTCTCAAAACAAATTTTTTTTAAATTAAAAAAACAGGCCGGGCGCGGTGGCTCAAGCCTGTAATCCCAGCACTTTGGGAGGCTGAGACGGGCGGATCACGAGGTCAGGAGATCGAGACCATCCTGGCTAATACGGTGAAACCCCGTCTCTACTAAAAAATACAAAAAACTAGCCGGGCGAGGTGGCGGGCGCCTGTAGTCCCAGCTACTCGGGAGGCTGAGGCAGGAGAATGGCGTGAACCCGGGAGGCGGAGCTTGCAGTGAGCTGAGATCCGGCCACTGCACTCCAGCCTGGGCGACAGAGCGAGACTCCGTCTCAAAAAAAAAAAAAAAACAATGTGGCCCGGTGCAGTGGCTCATGCCTGTAATCCCAGCACTTTGGGAGGCCAAGGTGGGCGGATCACGAGGTCATGAGATCGAGACCATCCTGGCTAACACAGTGAAACACCCACTCTACTAAAAATACAAAAAATTAGCCAGGCATGGTGGTGGGCGCCTGTAGTCTCAGCTACTCGGGAGGCTGAGACAGGAGAATGGCATGAACCCAGGAGGCAGAACTTGCAGTGAGCCGAGATGGTGCCACTGCACTCCAGCCTGGGCAACAGAGCAAGACTCCGTCTCAAAAAAGAAAAAAAAAAATGTTCAGGCCAGGTACAGTGACTCACGCCTGTAATCTCAGCACTTTGGGAGGTGGAGTAGGTGGAGTTCAAGACCAACCTGGGCTACATGGTGAAACCCCATCTGCACAAAAAAATTACCAAAAAATTAGCCAGGTGTGGTGGCCCACGTCTATAGTCCCAGCTACTTGGGAGGTTGAAGAAGTAGGATTGCTTGAGTCTGGGAGGCAGAAGTTGCAGTGAGATTCAACCATTGCACTCTAGCCTAGGGGAGCCAGATTCTGTCTCAAAAAAAATAAAAGTTTCATCTTAAAAAAGAAAAGAAAATCCTCTATTAACCCCACGGCCCTCTCCTGTTCAGTATTGGTCCTCAATATCCAAGGATTTAGCATCCAGGAATTCAACCAACTGAAGAACAAAAATATCTGGGGAAAGGCCAGGCATGGTGTCTCATGCCTGTAAACTCAGCACTTGGGGAGGCCGAGGCTGAGGATCACTTGAGGCCAGGAGTTCGTGACCAGCCTGGGCAACACAGTGAGAATCTGTCTCTGCAAAAGATTTAAAAATTAGCGCTGGGCATGGTATCTGACACCTGTAATCCCAGCACTTTGGGAGGCCAAGGTGGGTGGATCACCTGAGGTTGGGAGTTCGAGATCAACCTAACCAACATGGAGAAACCCTGTCTCTACTGAAAATACAAAATTAGCCAGGCGTGGTGGTGCATGCCTGTGATCCCAGCTACTCGGGAGACTGAGGCAGGAAAATCACTTGAACCCGGGAGGTGGAGGTTGCAGTGAGCCAAGATCGTGCCATTGCACGCAGCATGGGCAACAAGAGCGAAACTTCATCTAAAAAAAAAAAAAGGAATTACTAGGCATGGTGGCAGCAGGTCTGTAGTCACAGCTACTAGTGGGGTTGAGGTGGGAGGAATGCTTAAGCCATGATTGCACCACTGCACTCCAGTCTGGGTGACAGAGCAAGACCCTGTCTCAAAAAAAATAAAATAAAATAAAAGACAGAATGGGAGGAGAGAAATTGAGGAAAGCCAGAATATACAGTTGTGTCTTCCCAGGGAATTTAGATACTATAATTTCCACCCTCCCATCCTATGGATACCAAAATCTGCTGATTCTCTTGTAGTAAGAGATGACTTTAAGTCATCTCTAGCTTACTTATAATATCTAATACAATGTAAGTGCTATATAAATAGTTGTTATACTGTATTGTGTCATATTTTTGTTATTTTAGAGATGAGGTCCCCGAAGTCCCGTGATAGAGATTTCTGTCTGTTTTGTTCACTGATGTATCCCCAGCACGGGACAGAGCTTGCTAGTAGATGCTTTATACATCTTCCTCCATAGTCAGGCATGTTAGTACATGCCTGTAGTCCTGGCCACTCAAGAGGGCTGAAACTGGAAGATCGCTTGAACCCAAGAGTTTCAGGTTCCAGTGAGCTATGATCGTGCCACTGCACTCCAGCCTGGGCAACAGAATGAGCACTGACTCTAAGAACCTTCTTTCCTAAACTCCCCTCTACCAAGGTGTATCTCTGTTTCAAGTGTTTGATTTAGAGGCTACAAAGGATGAAGAGGGCTCAAGTCCTCAAACAGACCAAGGTAAATGGAGTTTCTCTGGCTGCTAGAGCGGTCTAGGAGAGCTTAGGTGGCTAAGCTGCTTCTTCCTCCTTTGCAAACCCTGTTTTTTCTCCATAAAGGAATGACCTCAGATAGGAGACAGTAGCCGAAGCTTACAGGAGGGAAATCCACACCTGCTCTTCATCCCAAACACCGACCCAAGGACCACTCCTTCCAGGAGCCTAGTATAAAGCAAAGGTGCAGACAGCCCGGGGCCACTGCTGACCTCTAGGGCAAGGCAAAGTAAGGCTGGGAGAGGATCCCGCAGGCCAAAGGATGAAAAGGACTAGGAACAAACAACAACAAAACCCTTATGGGGACAGGCGGAACAGCGCCCCCTACCAGTCCCACAACCATTCCTCCCTCGATGGAACGACGATTTCTGCTATTTGGCCTCATGGGAAATGTAGTTTAGGAGACGTGGCCAGAAGGGCCTTTTACAAAACTTTGGCAGAAGAAAAAAATACGTTGTGTAAGGGAGTCCAAAACTACCACCATACTTGCACAGACTCTAAATACACATTTCCCCCCTTCCTTTGCCTCGACCAGTCTCCAGAGCGGTTCCTCCTCCCGCCCACATCTCCTGTGTCTCGGCTTTCCATTTGGGCCGACCTACCTCTCTCCTACTCGCTGGTTCGTCAGCCGCTCCGTTCAATCGTAGGAACGCTCCTGGTCGGTTCCCGGAGTGCCTTGCGGCTGTAATGGCTGCCCCCAGTTGGCGCGGGGCTGGGCTTGTTCAAGAGGTGTTAAGGGTCTGGCAGGTGGGCCCTCATGTCGCGAGGAAGCGGGTGATCCCTTTTTCCTCACCCTTAAGCTTCCAACGGAGGTGCGTGTCCTGCGTTGCGGGGTCCGCTTTCTCTGGTCCCCGCTTAGCTTCGGCTTCTCGGAATTATGGCCAGGGCTCTGCCCTGGACCACTTCCTCGGATTCTCTCAGCGCGACAGTTCGGTGACTTCTTGCGTCCCCGCGGTGTCCATGCACACAGGTAAAGAGCCCTGATAGGTTTTCCCGGAACTGTCACGTTTTTAGCACTGAAAGGTTTCTGGGGATATTGTCTTTGATTCTATTTTATAGAAAACGGTGTTGAGGCCCTGACAGGGACGAGCAATGAAAAATCTCACAGGAGAGAAATAACAGTTTGAGTCGGAGAAGGAAACGATCTGTTCACAACCAGAGGCGCTCACTAAAGAGCATGAGATTGAAGGGCCACAGACAAAGCAGAACTATGGCTCTGCACCCTGACATGGGAAGCAAATTTGATCCAATAAATGCATGTTGGGCTTCATCTACTTGTCAAGACACAGTTGCACCTGGAAAATAGCACACTTTATTCTTCAGAGCCCGGTATTGGAGACTGGACACAAACTGGTCATTGCAAAATGGTGTCATAAGGAGACAATATAAAAAGGCTGGGCCCTCTCCCTTCTTGACCCCTAGCCCTGCCTCCCGTCCCTCCTTCAGAAAAAAAAAAAAAAAGACTGGGAAAGCTTGCAGAGCCTTCATAGTACCCTTAGTAGGGTGAGAGAATGAGAGCTGAGGAATTATCTGGCTTTGTGTAGTCCACCTTGCTTAAATGTACATACACTTCTCAGGCACAGCTACACATTAGAATTACATGCAGTAATTGACTATTAAGTGCCAGGCATTGTGCTGAGTTGTTTTACACAATTGCTAGTCATCAAAAAAATTATAAGCTGGTAAGTAGGTACCGTTAATATCAACTCGATTTTACATATGAGAAAACTAAAGGGCTCAGAGAGTTACTTTATAAATTAATGTAAATTAAGGGCCAAACAAAGTCTCAAAGTCAGGTCTAGGTGCCTTCAACCTGGTGCACTAATTTTGTATCCCTGCTCCCTTTGTGGGCGGGCAGGAACAAGCACCTGACAGGAAATCCAGATTCCACTATGTCTCACGCCTCTTCCCACTTGCACATAGATGAGCAGGATCTCCTCTTGGTCCATCACCCTGATATGCCTGAGAATCCCCGGGTCCTACGAGTGGTCCTCCTGGGAGCCCCGAATGCAGGGAAGTCAACACTCTCCAACCAGCTACTGGGCCGAAAGGTATGCTACACCCTTGACCATCCTACCCTTTACATCTTTTACTTCTTGCCATGCCTTCAGGGATGGTCTTGAAGGGATCTGGTACCTCACTGAGACTCCTTTGTTCATGGCAGGTGTTCCCTGTTTCCAAGAAGGTGCATACCACTCGCTGCCAAGCTCTGGGGGTCATCACAGAGAAGGAGACCCAGGTGGTGGGTACCTACAAAGGGAGTCCTTGAAACAGGACAGGGGGTGAAGCTAAGAGGGTCTCCCTTACCATCAGCCTTGAAGAAGATGATGGTTACATTCATTTATCTGAGGAAAGGGGGTTTCTTTTTTTTTTTTTTTTTTTTTGGAGATGGAGTCTCACTCTATCACCCAGACTGGAGTTCAGTGACTCTATGTTGGCTCACTGCAAGCTCCACCTCCTGGGTTCATGCCATTCTCCTGCCTCAGCCTCCCAAGTAGCTGGGACTACAGGCGCCCGCCACCATACCTGGCTAATTTTTTGTATTTTTAGTAGAAACGGTGTCTCACCATGTTAGCCAGGATGGTCTTGATGTCCTGACCTCGTGATCAGCCTGCCTCGGCCTCCCAAAGTGCTGGGATTACAGTCGTGAGCCACCATGCCTGGCCAGGAAAGGGGGTTTCCTCTTCCTCTTCCTTTAGGCATGGTACAGTTCTGTCTCTACCTTGCCCTCCCCTGGCATCTAGTCAGAAAGATTTCATTCTCTTTTTTTTTTTTTGAGATGGAGTTTCACTCTTGTTGCCCAGGCTGGAGTTCAGTGGCACAATCTCAGCTCACCACAACCTCTGCCTCCCGGGTTTAAGTAGTTCTCCTGCCTCAGCCTCCCGAGTAGCTGGGACTACAGGCATGTGCCACCAGGCCCGGCTAATTTTGTATTTTTGGTAGAGATGGGGTTTCACCACGTTGGCCAGTCTGGTCTCAAAACTCCTGACCTCAGGTGATCCACCCGCCTCGGCCTCCCAAAGTGCTGGGATTATGAGCATGAGCCACCACGCCCAGCCGATTTCATTCTGTTTACTGTTTCCTAATCTTCCTTATATTCACAGTCATTGTCTTTCTCCAAGATGCCATCAAAGCAGAATGGTAAAAACCTAAGGTCAGCCTGGGTGCAGTGCACATATCCCAGCACTGTGGGAGGCTAAAGCGGGTGGATCACTTGAGATCAGGAGTTCAAGACCAGCCTGGCCAACATGGTGAAACCCTGTCTCTACTAAAAAAATACAAAAATTAGCCGGGTGCGGTGGTGCACACCTGTAATCCCAGCTACTCAGGAGGTTGAGGCAGGAGAATTGCTTGAACCCAGGAGGCAGAGGTTGCAGTGAGCCAAGATGGTACCACTGCACTCCAGCCTGGGCGACAGAGTAAGACTCGGTCTCAAAAAAAAACAAAAACAAAATATAAACCTAAAGTCAATAATAGCTTGACTGAGGAGGGAGGGCAGGCTCCTGACATCGCAGGTAGCCTCTCTCTCACTTCCCAGTCATAATCTTTTCTTCTGGGGTCTGGGTATCTCACTTTCCTGATTTTAGATTCTACTTGACACACCTGGCATTATCAGTCCTGGTAAACAGAAGAGGTAACGGTGGTGGAATTGGGGTGGATATGGGGGGAGGTACTGAAACAGGGTGGGGAGATTCCATTATAGGGGCTGGAAAACCCCTTTACCATACAACATCCCTCATCAGAAATGCCTGAGTCATAAGACCCTTCCTGACTGATGTATGTCTGTCCCTCAGGCACCACCTGGAGCTCTCTTTGTTGGAAGATCCATGGAAGAGCATGGAATCTGCTGATCTTGGTTAGGTTCAGGATGGGAACCTTAAGCCCAGTTTACAGGGGTCATGGCCTTTCATTCCTTGGTAGTTTGTGGGGCGAAAGCCAAGCCCATACCATGTAAGCTTTTGTCAGGGCAGGAGGAAGAGTGACCATTTCCTTTTCCTTCTTCTTGCCTTGCCATCTTCCAGTTGTGGTTCTTGTGGATGTCTCGGACAAGTGGACACGGAACCAGCTCAGCCCTCAGTTGCTCAGGTGCTTGACCAAGTTCTCCCAGATCCCTAGTGTCCTGGTCATGAACAAGGTGAGCACTACCCACCCGAGGAAGGGGTCTACTTCCCTCCAAGTCCCCTATCTCTGACCACACACCCTTTGCCCATCCCCCATGTCCAGATAGATTGTCTGAAGCGGAAGTCAGTTCTCCTGGAGCTCACGGCAGCCCTCACTGAAGGTGTGGTCAACGGCAAAAAGCTCGAGATGAGGCAGGCCTTCCACTCACAGCCTGGTACCCGTTGCCCCAGCCCAGCAGTTAAGGACGCAAACACACTATCTGTGGGAAACCCTCAGAGGATTGGCTGGCCCCACTTCAAGGAGATCTTCATGTTGTCAGCCCTAAGCCAGGAGGATGTGAAAACACTAAAGGTCAGTTAGTCTTGGCCATAGTCTGGCCCTTGGTTTCTACCATATGAAGACAGCCCTCTAATTTCCTCCTGGAAGCAAAAATGAGGAGAAAAGTCCTGGTTGGGATTAAGATGCCCATCTATTCCCTCTGTTCCTACAGCAATATCTCCTGACACAGGCCCAGCCAGGGCCCTGGGAGTACCACAGTGCAGTCCTCACTAGCCAGACACCAGAAGAGATCTGCGCCAACATTATCCGAGCGAAACTCCTAGAGCACCTGCCTCAGGAAGTGCCTTACAATGTACAGCAGGTACAGAGTGAAGGGTTCTGGGGGCTCTCTACCAGACACACACCTTTACCCAGGAGTATGACTGACTAATCTTTTGTCTCCCTTTACAGAAGACGGCAGTATGGGAGGAAGGACCAGGTGGGGAGCTGGTTATCCAACAGAAGCTTCTGGTGCCCAAAGAATCTTATATGGTAAGTGAGATGAGGCTCAGAGGAGAGATCAAGACTATATTTGACAGGAGTTCTTCCCCTAGCTTGGAGCCCTGAGAGCAGGACCATGTCCTTCTCTCTTTTTTCTTTTTCTTTTCTTTTTTTTGAGACAGTCTTGCTCTGTCACTGAGGCTGGAGTACAGTGGTGGGATCACAGCTCACTGCAGCCTTGACTTCCCACACTCAAGCAATCCTCCCGCCTCAGTCCCCTGAGGAGCTGGGATCAGCTAATTTTTTTATTTTTTATTTTTTCTGAGACAAAGTCTCACTCTGTCACCCAGGCTGGAGTGCAGTGGCACGATCTCTGCTCACTGCAACCTCCGCCTCCTGGGCTCAAGTGATTCTCCTGCCTCAGCCTCCTAAGAAGCTGGGATTACAGGTGCCCACCACCATGCCCAGCTAATTTTTGTATTTTTAGTAGAGACGGAGTTTCACCATGTTGGCCAGGCTGGTTTCGAACTCTTGACCTCAAATTGTCTGCCCGCCTCAGCCTCCCAAAGTGCTGCCTGACCATCCGCTAATTTAAAAAAAAGTTTTGTAGAGAAAGGGTTTCACTATGTTGCCCAGGCTGGTCTCAAACTCCTGGGCTCAAGCAGTCCACCCACCTTGGCCTCCGAAAGTGCTGGGATTAATGGGCATGAGCCACTGCACCTAACCCTCTCCTTTTTTAATTTTTTAATCTCTTTTGAGCCAGGGTCTTGCTCTGTCACTCAGGCTGGGTGCAGAGGCGCAATCTCAGCTCACTGCAACTTCTGCCTCTCGGGTTCAAGTGATTCTCCTGCCTCAGCCTCCCAAGTAGCTAAGATTACAGGTGCCCACCACCATGCCCAGCTAATTTTTTGTAGAGACAGGGTTTCACCATGTTGACCAGGCTGGTTTTGAACTCCTGACCTCAGGTGATCTGCCCGCCTCAACCTCCCAAAGTGCTGGGATTACAGGCATGAGCCACCGCACCTGGCCACCCTCTCTTTTTTTAAAAGAGGGGTTGCACTTTTACCCAGCCTGAACTCAAACTCCTGTTCTCAAAGGATCCTCTCACCTCAGCCCCCCGAATAGCTGGGACTACAGGCATGTGCCATCATTCCTGTCTTCCTTCTCTTTCATATACCCTCAGAAACTGCTGATTGGTCCGAAGGGCCATGTGATCTCCCAGATAGCACAGGAGGCAGGCCGCGACCTCATGAACATCTTCCTCTGTGATGTAGACATCCACCTCTCTGTGAAGCTCCTCAAGTGACCACCCTCTACTGATCCTCCCAGGACATTCCAGCTCAAGCTGCTGGCAGGAACTGACCAGATCTGTCCTTGGCTGGGGACCCTCCAGGGACTGGTGAGAGACATGAACACTGACTGGCTGCTAGCTGCCCTGGCCCTGCTGAGTCTGTACAGTCCCTGCCCAGCTGTGTCTCCTGTTGGAAAAAGGAACTGGCCTTAGCTCAGTTTCCAGGTGGTTCCTCTGCCTGGGACCACAGCTACAAAGGTGTAGCTAAGAAGATGGCTCATTGGTGGGAGCAATATCACCCTACCTCCAGCTAGCTATGGGCCCAGTTTCTCCCTGAGTCGCTGTTGCTGGTAGGGAGATTTTCTCTTCCCGCCCTCACTTCCTTCACCTTGTACTTGGATAAGAACTCGTGTCTCCTGAATGAGGTAGCGCCTCCCATCTGCTCCCCAATTCTTGATCTCTCCCACCCCATCCCTCTCCCCAGTCTTGGATACTAATAAAAGACAGGCATTCTGGTTCTCATCTTTATTCCTTTTATTTATTTATTTTTATTTTTTAATATTAGGGACTGAGTCTCACTATGTTGTCTAGGCTGGTCTCAAACTCCTGGGCTCAAGAAATCCTCCTGCCTTGGCCTTTGAAAGTGGTGGGATTACAGGCTTAAGCCACTGTGCCTGGCCTCATCTTTATTTCTTTACAACAGGAAAGAGAATGTGTATCTATTCCCTCCCCTACCCGCCATCCCATGCCCTCACCCCGCCTTGTTTGAACTGGAGTCTCCCTTCCAGTAGTCTGCTCCAGGGTCCTGAGTTCTCTTCCTGGCACGTTTTCTGGATGTAGCAAGAGAACCCTTACCATTACTAAACTCAGTAATGGTAACGGTTTCCTTGCCATTCCCAAGTGCCCTGGCAGTCAGTAGGCTGTGACAGGCTGAGCGGAGAGCTTCTTGGGCTTGCAGCATCTCTCCTGTCCTCCTTGTCAGGCTCCAGAGCTGGGGGTGCCCGGACTAGTACATCATCTATACTGTAGTGTCTCATCGCAAACTTACAGTATATGATGATATCCCAGCCAGGGCCCCACTGGGGGTACAGGAAGCATGGCTTGAAAAGTACTGTGGGGGGCTGGGGGCAGAACAGAACAGGTCAGGGCTGGACACACACAGCTCCCTGCTCCCTGCTCTACGGCTCCCTCCCAGGCCAGCATCTCCTTGATTCTGTAGTCAGGCACAGCCCAGGTGGGTTATGGGAAGGGGACTGGAGCTAGGGTCTGTTGAGATCTCACAGGGACCCAGGGCCAGTGTTAAAACAAGCCAGAGATGGCATAATGATGCAGAAGGCTCCCTTTGGTCAGACCAACAAGCAGACAGGCAGACAGACCCAGAGAAGGTGCACTTACCTAAAGCTGGAGCTGCAGACTGAGGAGGCCTTTGGATGCAGGGAGGATCTGTCCCTTCCTCTTCCTTGAGCTGCTTGCCTTTTAACATACTGGTCCCTCCTCTGGGTGGGGCACTTCTCCTGGCCCTGCCTCTTAACCCTTGCCCTGCTAGAGTCCACGAAACAAGGGTCACTGGCCCCTCTCCCTAGAAGGCCTTTTTTCACAACTCTCTCAAGGACCACATTAACCCTGAGGTTCACCCTTCACTCCCATCTCCAAGAAGCTCGTCATCTCTGCTGGGCTGGGAATGAGAAAGAACAGCCTCATCCCATCCATCAGCATTTAATTGCTGGTCAGATCCCTGGTGGAAGGTTTTTCGTTTTTGCTTTTTTTTGTTTTGCAGTGGTGGTGGGCAGTGTTAGTTGAATCTCTCTATATAGGGCAGGAAGGGTCCTGGCAGCTGGATCTCCAGCATCTGTCTGGCAGCCGAGCTCACACTACCCGTTAGCCTAAATTTCTATTCCCAGCCCCTGTCCCTGTGTTTATGATGAGCCCAAGGAGGCCAGACCTAGGCAGGCAGAGAGACTCTGCCTAGTACTGCCCTGGCAAGGTCCTCTTGGGGGTTGCTCTGCTAGGAGATTTGAGAGCAGCTGAATCCCCAGCTCTTGTGGGTCTGCTCTTCAAAGCTCAAAGCACATCCAGTGAGAGCCTAACACTGTTTGGTTCTTTGCCTCTGGGGTAGGGGAGAGGCACCTCAAAGCAGGGCCTCCGCTGTTTAGAATCCCCATTCTGGGGGACCCGCCCTTCCCTCTTCCCTAACCTAGAGATCTGGTCTGTGTGCTGGAAGGCAGTTTATACCCTTCCTCTGCAGGGGCAGACTAGAGCAGGATGGAAGTGGGAGAAGAGACCCAACCTTTTCTGGGTCCTGTGGAGGTGTTCTATTTCCTGAGGCCACAGCACGCTGGCACATGTAACCCTCTGCTTAGCATGGTCTTCCCTCCTTTCTTGTCTAGTCAGCTCCTAGCACCTCTTCAGAGCTCTTTTCTTTTTCTTCCTTTTTTTGAGATAATTTAACTTTGTCACCCAGGTTGGAATGCAGTTGTGTGATCACGGCTCACTGCAGACCCCCCGGGCTCAGGTGATCCTCCCACCTCAGCCTCCCAAGTATCTGGGACTACAGGCATGCACCACCACACCTGGCTAATTTTTGTATTTTTAATGGAGACAGAGTTTTGCCATGTTGCTTAGGCTGCTCTCAAACTCCTGGGTTCAAGTGATCCGCCCACATGGCCTCCCAGAGTGCTGGGATTACAGGCACAAGCCACAGCCTCCCTCTTCACATCTCTAAGTGTTACTTCTGCAGGGAAGTCTTCCCAGACCATTTAAGTCCCCCTGATAGGGGCTTATTTATTTGTGTGATTATTCACATTAAGTACATAATCATGAGGGCCTTGTTTATTCACTGATGTACTTCTCTGTTTGTTTGGTTGATTGGTTTTTTTGAGCCAGAGTCTTGCTCTGTCGCCCAGGCTGGAGTACAGTAGCACAATCTCGGCTCACTGCAACCTCCACCTCCCAGGTTCAAGTGATTCTCCTGCCTCAGCCTCCTGAGAAGCTGGGACTACAGACACTCGCTGCCATGCCCTGCTAATTTTTTGTATTTTTAGTAGAGACAGGGTTTCACCGTGTTGCCCAGGCTGGTGTTGAAATCCTGAGCTCAGGCTATCCGCCCGCCTTAGCCTCCCAAAGTGCTGGGATTACAGGCGTGAGCCACTGCACCCGGCTCACTGATGTACTTCTATCACATAATTAGCGACTAAATAAATGTTCCAGCCTACATCAAGCTGAGCCTAATGTAATGTGGGGGAGGAGAGAGACCTTGGCCTGAGGAGGCAGATGGACAAAGCTGTGGCTTTCTCAGGTATGCCATTTTCTCTCTGGGAACCTCGCTGTTCTTATTTGTAAATAGGAATAACAATAGTCCCCAGTTCACAGAGTTGCCAGAGCTAGGGGATCAGCTGCTGGTGCCAGTCAACAGAAGGAGTTCAAACAAGTTCATTCCCACCTCACCTCATTCACTCAGGGACCCCCACAAGGCCTGTCCTTGAACATCTGAAAGCCCATGGAATATTCTTGAAAGCCACCTGGGACCATTGTGAGAACCCAGGTCGAGAGGTGACAGGTCCCAAGTGACAGTCGCAGCTCTGCTGCATCCAGCTCTGTGACTTTGGACCAAGTGTTCCCACCCTCAGTTTCCTCAAATTTAAAATGGCAGCTGTCAATACCTACCTTATACAGTGATGAAGAGGGTGATATGAGCACTCATCTCAAGCTCCCAGATCAGGTCCTAACACATATGAAACAAATGTCAGTTTCCTTCTTTACTTCTTTCTTCTGTCTCACAGGCTGTGTGGCTGGGGACAAATTACACTTCTCTGAGCTTTGGTGGTTATACACATCTTGCCAAGTTGTAAGAATCAAGTCAGAAATATGAGTGAGAACCCAGGCACGGTGGCTCATGACTGTAATCCCAGAACTTTGGGAGGTTGAGGGGGGCAGATCGCTTGAGCCCAGGAGTTCAAGAACAGCCTGGGTAACATAGTGAGACCCCGTCTCTACTAAAAGTACAAAACAAACAAACAAACAAACAAATTAGCCAGTTGTGGTGGCATGTGCCTATAGTCCCAGCTACTTGGTGGGCTGTGGTGAGAGGATCACTTTAGCCTGGGAAGTCGAGGTTGCAATGAGCCATGTTTGTACCACTTCAGCCTGGGTGACAGAGTGAGACTCTATCTCAAAAAAAATAAAAAATTAAAAAATAAAAAACAAGAGAAAGAAATACAGAAAGATGAGTGAGGGCCAGGTGCAGTGGCTCACGCCTATAATCCTAGCACTTTGGAAGGCTGAGGTGGGCGGATCATTCGAGATCAAGAGATCGAGACCAGCCTGGCCAACATGGTGAAACTCCATCTCTACTAAAAATATAAAAAATTAGCTGGGCATGGTGGCATGCACCAGTAATCCCAACTACTCAGGAGGCTGAGGCACAAGAATTGCTTAAACCCAAGAGGCGGAAGTTGCTGTGAGCCAAAACTGTACCACTGCCATCTACCCTAGGTGACAGAATGAGACTCCGTTTAAAAAAAAAAAAAAGATGAGTGACAAAGATTATGAATCCAGCTGCCCCAGCCAGGTGAGGCATTGTCATTGTGTCCACTCCTGTTTCCCCTGACCCCCTTTCCTGTCCTGTGTCTCTCCTGTGAGGCCACCTCTATTCAGAGACCCCACAGACAGCTCAAGCTCCTTCAACAGAGCGAGGGCTTTGTGCACTAGGGCAAGCTTGATGCCACTTACTTCCTAGACTTCTGCCTAGTCCCTGGGGGCCAAATCCAAAGGTGAGTATGGGCAGAACCTAGGGGTCCTGAAGGGAAAGGAGAGAGATTATCTCAACCAGCCAGAGATCCTGTGACTGTGGCCTCTGGCCAGGGGTGGGGATTGCTGTGAGTAGGGTGTGGGTTGAAGGAGAGTCTGGGCCTGGGTGGGATAGTCAGGGGGCCCTGATAAGCAGACACTGGGCTATCAGGGTGGGGGCCCAGCAGCCTTCTGTTTATCAGGAGTCAGCAGGGGTCAAAGCAGGGCTGAGGACACTTCACTTCCCGCCCAGGGCTGTCTTCCTGGATAGTTGTTCTTCCATTTCTCTGCCTCCCCAGTACCCCACAGGGAGTTGGAATGTGAATCCCTCTCCTTCTCTGCAAGTCACACGGAGACTCTCTGGCCAGTACAGGGGTGGGAGGACACAAGCTAGGGCCTTAGGCCTGACTTTTAAATTCTGACAGCTTTTGCTTCAAACCAGGAGCTCCGTGTCTCTCCTGAGGCCAGTGAGGCAAGTCTGGGGCCTTTGTCCTTCTAACTTCAACCCCTGCCACTGCAGCTTTAAGCTCTTGATTGTTCTTTAGGTCTTTTTTGGAAGAAATCCTAAAGTGTATGGTGATTGATGAAGTTAAGGATGGTCAGATCTGCACAGGTCCTTCAAAATCATGGAGTTCAAGTCTCCCATTTATATAGGAGAGAAACTGAAGCCAGAGAGGAGGAGAGAATTGTTCAAAGCTTGCGGGTTCCCTCCACCTCTCAGCATCGGGGAACAATGCATGACT